TAGATTTTGTTACATGGGGAAAAGATGCTAATGGGCCTACCTCTGATGTTTCTACCTCCAGCCCCAATGTTCTTAGTATACTATTGGTCAAATGTTTTTACTTACACAAAAAGCAGAGCTGTAAAATGTCAGAATTTACGTAAGGAATAATGAAAAAAGTGGAAAAGCCTCTTCCTTTCAAACACACTCGTAAGGAAGCCTAAGAAAGGAGAAACTTTATAGAATATCCTAAGATTAAGTTAATAGTAATGCCTTGATGTATATGGAGAGAGTTTTCCAGAAGTCTCATGATTTCAGGTATTTTACACTTTTTAATCTAAGACAGCAAATTAGATTTTGCCTCAAGCATGGTGCAGCGTGTTCCTTGTTTTGGCAAGCAGGGTTTGGCTGAGAGGCCACGTGGACAGTGCTGTCTGAGCAGTGCGCTGTGTGTGACAGTGAACTGCAAGCAGGCTGTTCTACAATGGCCGTTTAGATTACCAGCTTTATGAGACACTTAGAACAACGAGCTTGTTCCAAAATGAAAGCCTTCAGATTTCATTCGGAACTGATCACACTTATTAACCTGCTTTTCTGCTCATTTCACATTTGGAGGCTGACCTCGAATGATACGTGAATGCAGTGATACGTTCCCTTACAAGAATATCAAATTGGCAATCACCACCATTTGTTCTGCAGTGCCGTTTTGTTTTCTTTTTTTAAAGAGTGCATCAGCATACATGCAAAAGCATAAATAAGCTTTAAAAAGCAACTTAGATTGCAGTTTGTATCTCCCTCTGCTTTTGTTTCAGTTTTGCTTTGATTCGCTATGTGAAGAAGTAGGATATTGTCATGTTGTCTGCAATATCTAAGGGAGAAGTAACAGCAGGAAAAGTGGTATACAGAACTCCTGTGTATGTTGGGATGGGAAAATCCAGAGGTTTAGAATTCACAGAATCGCTTCTTACAGCCAGGAGTTTCACAGCAGTTTTGGGGCTCTTGGGAATCCTTTTCTCGTCAGCTAGTGAAAATGTACTATTAAAAGCCACTTCTGTGTTTTTCCTTCTGAAATGAGCAGTTCGGTGTTGTTTTTTTTTTAACCTTGGGCTTTAAATCTCTTGTCCAAGCAAACCCCACAGTACTAAATTGTCCTTCCTCATTTTGACCTTTGCTTCCTCTTCCTGGGAGCAGTCCTTGCTCATTTTTACTTTTGCTTGACATCCAAGTATATTCCCTCCAGTTAGCAGCCATCCCCATGCACGTTAGCCTCCCATTTGGACTCTCTTCCACTCTGCTGCTCGCTCCTGTTGGGCCCAGCCTTCACCTGTTCTCAAGGGCAGGACGTTTTTCTCCATCTATCAGCTCTCCAGCCCTCAGTGTTTGTTGCTTTCATGCAGCATTGTTTCTGAAGATCCAATTCTGTTCCCATTGTCCTCAGAACAGTGAATTTGCATTCTTGTCAACTTGTGAGGGATGCAGACAGTGTGTCTCTTCAGAAAGCAATTATGCCATATGCTCTAAAAACATGAGCTGTTCATCCCCATCCCATGGAATATATCATAACACTTTCCTGGGTCTTCTTTCTCTCTCCTGTAATTTCTATCTAAAGGCACTTGACTCCTTTACTGCAGGGGGACCCTGTTCTCTAAGATCACCGCTTCCTCAAGGTGCCCCACTTCTCTCCCCTCTCCCCTCCCCCATTTCACCCAGCTTTCTGCTGTGCCCATCTGCTGCTCTCTGTCCTCATGCTGCCCATTCACCCCACCCAGGATTTAGGCTCCTGGTCTTGGCCGTTCCATGTAGCCTTACTGGGAAAGTGAGAGGTAGTGAGTTGTCACTTGCACCTTCTTACATTCTGGCATTAAGGCCCATAAGGGGAGAGGGTGAGATTTGGTCAGTTTCTGTCTGGAGTTAGCTCACTGCTGCGTACCCGTGGATACCTGTGTAAGTGCATAATCAAGATAATCAGCAGTAACAGAAACTTTATTTGCTGTATTTGCAGTACTTTGAGAACTCAAAGCTCTCTAATGTCTGACTGTGTCTTGTCTTCCCTGGAACTCGTTCATCCCATAATGTAATATAAGCGCATTTACTTTACATCGCTGAAAAGAAACCGTTAATACTTGTATTATGTTTTAACTTGCTTTCCTTTGGAGGCAGGGAATTGTCAAGTAAGTACTAACAACACAGCACAGAAAAAGCACAGATTGCTGTGAATGTACAGTGCAGATTGCATAGGCCATACAGGGTAAATATTTGTAATTTCCTACAGCACGAATTTCTTGTCTTGACGCTGCCATCCTGTGTATGAAAATAGATTAGGTGTAGTCATAGATTTGTTACAAATGAAAATCAAATTGGTGCTGCTTCACATTTCTTTCATTGAGGTGATTATAAGGCAACGAATGCGTGTGTATATATACATACATATATATGTATATATGAATGCACACAACGTTTGTGTTTGTGTGTACTGTGAACAGTTATATATTCAAGTACATGTGCGTATGTGTATGTTTCCAAATTAAATCTCATGTTTACTATCTAGTGATTATCTGTCATGTCATAGTGGTAGTGTTCTCTGCTTTCATGAAAAATTTTGGCTTGCTGTTGTCATAAACTCTAGAAGATATGCCCAGGTAAAGAAATGTAGAAGTGATCCATCTGAAAATTACACTAAAACAGAAAAAAGAGCAGGAAGCATACAAGAAAACGATTGATTCTTTTCATAAGGCCTGATTCAAAGGCCTTAGTAAATCTGGGTTGAAGTGGTGTCTGCTTTTCTAGCATCACATAATGTTTTTATTTGGTAAGACAATTGAGTTTTGCAGTAGCTTCCTCCATCCCTTTTCTATGGTGATTGCACTGCTATTGAATCCAATTACCACCGATGGTTACGTAACAACTTGATCGACCACTCAGAGAGAATAAAGGTACTTGTTTCCCTGTGAACAGCAAGTACAAGCTGTCCTGTACATAAGTTGGCCTCCCAATGAACAATTATTAGGCTAAATTGCAAGTTGAGCTAGGAGAGAAAACAAGCATCCATTGTGTGAAACTTAACAGTGCTTATGAGGCTGCTGAGTTTCTAGCAGTTTCCATCCCTGTCAGGTACCTGAAAATAGAGAAACTCATGGAATCACATTCTGCTTCAGTATAAAGTGAGCAAGAAGCAGTGATGTAGCTTCCTTTTTCCCCCCTGTTCTGTAGGATCTTGAGTTAAGAATATGGCCAGTAATGCCAGGGTATGGTATTCATGAATTTGTAGACTGGTGCACTCTTTAATTTCTGTTTTAGTTTTTGCTGGCATGCTTGAATAGCATGTTTTGTGCCACGAGGGAATGACTGATCAACTCTAAAAATGCTTGTGCATGAGTAAAGTGGTCAGAAATATGCCTAAACTGTATTAAGTTTCTTACTTGGCTTTATTTGCTGCTTACAAGGGGATCAAGGTAACTCTTTCACTCTTTCAACATCACAAGATCTAATGTACTTTTCCAGTATTAATGAGTTTGTTTGTTTGCTTGAGAAGTGAGTTGGTTTGTTTATTTTCAGTCTGCTCTGTCTTTTTTAGAGCCCAGCTTTTCATGCTGCTTATTCCTGCAAAATAAGCCGTGTAGCAGTGTGTTCTGGCTATGTGTTTCATCTACTGCTGTCTTTAAGAGCTTTCATAAAAGTGCAATTCCAGATAAATCAGCTCTCATTAAGCAAAAGGGATTTCATTCCTCTGCAGTCATTTTTGCAAAACAGGAATTAGTGAGAGTCGCAGTAAAAGAACAAACCAATCTAATTTTTTCAGCATATAAATTTTATATCAATTTCATTCGTTTTTGAAATCTTAAGCTATGAAAATGTTTTCCAGATTCGAGCTTAAATAAATTCAGGCCAGTTTTAACCCTGCCCCCAGAATCTGCTGTTAGTGTTTAATGGCATGAACTGTTTTTGTGTGAATAACAGCAGCCATTGAGTGATGTTTTGGAGAAGCATTTAACCATAACATCAGTTTTGATTCTTTTGCTGTCACCTCTTCTACCCTGACCTTCTTCTCACCAGGCCCATATTCTAGCTAAAAGCTGATCAAACGTGATGAAGGCCAAATTTCTTGGGGTGATTTTGCTGGTAATCCACTGCGATGTTTTGGGTCTGTGCTGTTGCCAATAGGGTTAGAATTTAGCTCTCCTTAATTCCTGTTACCTGAAAGGGATAGTCATTGTGCCCAAATGAACCTAACAGTCATCCTGAGTGAACCCTGTGTTAGGTATGAACTTCTATGGGTCCAACACACTCTGCTCCTCTTAGGTTTGTGCCTCTTCTTTTTTCTTGGAAGGATCAAGATGAATATCCCCTTTGCTGCCTCCCTTTAGTCATATGTATGTTCACTGTAGCCTCTGGACTTGCAGTTAGAGCATCTCATAGAAGTAAATGTTCTCTGTCTTCAAAAAGACCATTTACACAAGTAATTTTTTTTCAGCCCATGTTTCCCATTTGTCTTTTTAGTTACTTTCAGCAACTGTAGTTGTGTAAAATGCTTTGCTGCCCTTAGCCTTCCTCAGATTCATACAGTAAATGACTTACACAGACTAAAATGTAATACTTTTATCTTTAATGTGATTTTGAAATGATTTTAATACTTCCAAGTCAAGGTTTTGTGATAGGATTTCTCAGAAGCAAGGCTGGGGAAAGGTCAGCTGCCAGCTGTAGAAAGTCTTTTAGATCATTCCTGAAAGCAACAATGTAGTGTCAGCCAGTACTCAGGGATTTTCCAAAGGATTTAAATCATTAGAATTTAAACAGTCATTTTCAGGTGGTCTGTTCTGCCACTCCTCCCCGAAATGAACATGAGTGCTGTTTCTGCTCTTCCTATCAAAATGCATATGATTACTATGTGTGTTATAAAATGCTAAAAGCTTGGTATCAAACACACATAGTTGCAATTGGCCACTTTCTGTACTTAAAACATATGCTGTGGTTTTGCTTTCAAACATATTGATTGGCTTCTCTTTTAAACGCGTTTCTTTCAGGCCACCAGTTAGCAGAGCTGCTCCTCAGCCTGAAAAACTGCAGAAGAACAACGTCAACAAAAAAAGGAAACTGGTTGAGGTCAGACTTAGTTGTATTTTTCTTTTCATTTGCTTTAGAAGTAATGTGTGCTGGGTTAAACTCTTCCCTGTTATGAGGGTAGCTGAAGTTGTGTATAAGTAAAAGAGAAGGGGAAGAAATTTCTACAGTGTGCTCTCAGCGCTCCTAGCAAACACCAGAAGACATGATAGCCAACAACCTGTGGCAGAAGGGACTTCAGATTCGGATATGGCTGACCTGCAATATCAGATCTCTCCAAATCCAAAATTTGTCTCTGGATTTGAAGAACACTTACAGCTGAGATGTATGTTTAACTGCAGCAGAACCCACTAGGTAACCCCAGTGAAAATATATTCAGAAATTGCATTTTGCACATGCACCATTACACGCATGCTTTTGGATGATGAGATTTGCTAACTTATTTTGGAACATACCCTTTCCTCACACTGTAGGCCCCCTCTCCTCCCCACCTATTTGGAAATGTGCTGAGAAATGAATATTCTGTGGACGATGTGGACCATTTGCAACAATTGCTTGGTCTGTCACTATTAGTCAAATTGTTCAAAGCAAGGTGGAATTATGTTAGAGACAGATGCGTTAACTCTGTCTTCTGGGCTAGAACAGCAACTTTAACAGCAGTCCATTACCCATCACTGTTTTTCTAGAGGAAATCTCTTTGACAGTTGCTCTTTGTAAGATGAAATGTCCAAGACGCCTTCAATTAATGTTTTAATAATGAAGTTGCTTGTAGCCTGGCATTGCCTCTTATAAGGACCTTGGTGTCAGAATTTGTTGTATTAAAATGTGACTGTTTATGAGAATGACTTTTGAAGACTCCTAAAGTAGAAGTAAATGTATTTGCAAATAGCTGCTCAGTGTAGATATTAAAATGTAACGGGCAGATTCATAAATTGGACCTCTTTTAAAGTTGCATGTATTTCAAATGGTAATTAAATACTATTTTCAGGTCTGGTTGAATTATTAAAGAAATAATAATGCAAATGTGTTGCCTTACTTGACCGATGGCAGCTTTGTATGTAGTCCATGAGAAAGTCATGCCTCAGTAAATACAGAAAAGTAAAGAAAGAGGGACAACTGATTAATTATTGTTTAATTATCCTGTTGCTTGGACAAGATGTTTGTGTCTTGTGTAATAATTACCTGAGGTCTTCACATGCACGATTCAAACTCTTTAACCTCTTTCTTTGTTCTTTATTTCACTCTTGTTCTTTTTTCCTGTTTTGCTTGACTAGGAGCTGGCTTTAGACCACGTTTTTGGATACAGAGGATTTGACTGTCGCAACAACCTTCATTACCTAAATGATGGTGCTGATATTATTTTCCACACAGCTGCAGCAGGCATAGTGCAAAATCTTTCTACTGGTAATTCAACTTGCAGCAGTACTTTGAGATTAAAAATTACTGTGGAAGTGAAACATTCCTGTAAGAAAGTCACGCTATTGTAACATTCCTGCAACTCCTTCGTGTTTTGTATCTTCTGAAATAATGCAAAGAAATTTAGAGGGCTATTTTAGCAGACTGTCAAGTCCTCTTATTAAGGTCATCCTGTTAAGCCTCCCGACTCATTTTAGTAGGTATGAGATTCTGTTAGGAAGCGTAATACTAAGCTGTTCTATTTCTGCAGCTGTGCCTTTCTAAACTCCACACTGAAGGCATAGGGATGGTTTCTCAGGTTGCATGGGACATGAAATGTCGAGCACTCCTCACGGTTTTAGGAGCAGTAATTGTTCCATTTTAGGTTATTTTAGCAAAATCGTGCTCCAGGGAAGGATCCATTTCTATGCAATACGATGTGAGCAAATTGCTCTTCAGAAGGAGTAGAAATATTCTGTGCTTTTTTGGGTAGTGACAAAGACCTGCCAACTTATTCTGCCCCGAGTTGTAGCTCTCCACATAGCTTAAGAAACAAGCCAGGAATTAATGGCAGTTTATTATTCCCTCTTGGTCCTCTGTGGCACCAAATAGTGACAGCACTTCACTCAGCTCTGCTGCCAAGGAGAGGCAGAGATAGATGGTGTCACATCTGCTGACTTCAGGGGACTCCTTGCCCTGCACAGCCTCTGGCCCGTGGAGCTGGGAACGCTGCCCCAGCTGCTCTTCCTGGCCTTCCCCCTGGGAAGATGGTGCAGAGCAGAAACTTCCCAGGGTTTAGCTTTCTGCTTTGTTTCCTGTTGACTCCTTTGATTAAGTGAGAGAGCTGGTCTGTGCATTTGGCAGTCCTGCTTTTTTCTTGTGGTGGTTACAGATGATTAGAGGATGATTCCTGGGCTAAGTCCTGGTAGCTAGTTGACCAATCCTGCTTCGTGTATATGCATTAGTGGTTACTCACAGCTTGTTTGGAAATGGTGCCTGGAAGTGAAAGCAAAGCAGCTCTTGGCATACTTATTGCTCTCCCCCACGCATCCCCTAGAGCCCAGCATGAGCGTACCAACAAGCTGATTAAATATTCTTTGCTTCAGTTGTGGTTCTTTCTTTGAGACTGTTGTGAATAAAACCACGTTTGAATTTTATTAGGAAGTCAGAGCTTCTACCTGGAGCATACTGATGACATTCTCTGCTTAACTGTGAATCAGCACCCAAAGTACAAAAACATTGTGGCTACCAGCCAGATCGGTAGGTGACTCCATGTACCAATGTCTTACTCAGAAATTGTCAGGGGCACTGATTTATTTTGGGCTTATCTACATAGAATTTTTACTGGGATTTACCACTGTCACTTTTTTTTTTTCTTTTTTTGATCTTGAGAAAATCCTGAAGCTTAATTATTTCTGTCATTTCAGTCTATCTACAGCAGTTTCATCTCTGATTGTGTCATTGGATTTTAGAGTTAATTGTACTGCAAGGATATTTCAGAAAACAAGCGTTTTTGAACAGCACTAAATCTTCTCACTCATATGTAATTATAAGCTTACAGGATTTCCTCTTTCTTTCCAGTATCCAAAGCACTGTTTAGCCATAAAGCACTTAGCTGTGAAAATAGAATAATGACCATTTCCCTTGCAGAAATTCAAAACTAATACAAAAAAGGAAAGGGTTAGAGTGGAACCTCAGCAGAAGTTACGAGGCATGTAAGGCTGATCCTGAGACCATGTATGATGTATTGATATGTTATTTACATGAAGAGTCCCATGAAATTACGGAGTTCAGAATTGTAGGGGCTGGAAGGGACCTCTAGAGATCAGTCACCAATGCCTTTTGGAGAAGTAAAAGCTGTAGGGAACATCAGGACTGTTTGTCCCAGGCTTACGGAGGGATGTGTTGCTTTTCACTTATACCAGGGTAATGCTGGAAAAATCAATGTCATGAATAACAGAGTCATTCTCATTCATTTCAGTCTGAAAGCAGTGACTTCTGTAATATATAACTTTATAACAAAGCTGGAAAGTGGCAGTAGGTGAAGGCCTTGGCAAACCATCTCTGCTGCCTGTACGGAGCGTTGTCTTTTCAATTGGAATGTTGAATGAAAAAGAGAATGTATTCATACAGTCAGAGCCCTGGTCCAGAATACTGATTTCTGTGACCCAAAGCAGGTGACATTGAGCCTGTCTTTTAATTCCATCATAGGAGCCCATGAAATCAGTGTTTCTGATTTTGGATTGATTCTGGATCATTGTAGATTCATATTAGTTTTAAATTTAGTAATCTTTAAAAACTGCATGTCTTTACCATTTCTTTTAAATACCATTTTTAAAACTGAGAATTACTAAATATTGTTGCAATATTTGTGTATAAAAGACAATATACTCAAAATTAAGTTCAACAATATTCCTGCTTATTTGTTTTGTTGATTTAATCCATATCCATTTTCAAACTTTTAATTTTTTTATCTTTTTTTTTTTTTTTTTTTACTTCTGGTGCTGATGCTGGCACTTCAGCATTAGAAACATGACTTACTTCACTTATTGTTTTCCCTTGGTGCTTCCTCATTTGCCATTGCTCTCACAATGCAGGTGATATGACAGAATTTTCAGGTAAGGCTGATTCGTTTGTGAATTCTAGTCAGCAGAGTTATGTAAAAGTTTCCTGTTACCTCATTGTATCTGTGTCAACCGCGGATACAAGTGGAGCATCCACAGATAATTTCTTTTGCATGAGGTTCTTCATAAATGTTGCGTTGTTCTTTTGGCATTTGTCTTCTTCCATGAAATGCAATAATTTCCCTGGTTTGTTTTTGGTTTTTTTTTTTCAAGACATGATTTTTTTGAGTACTTTTAATCTTAAAACAAAAAAAACAACCAAACTTAAGTGTCTGTTTAGGTTCAATGTTCTTGAAAAATGCATATTTTGCACTGAAGCTTTCGAGATGCTGAATTAATTTTCTTTTAATACATCTTTTTCCGTGTAGGTACGACTCCCACAATTCACGTATGGGATGCTATGAGTAAGCAAACAATTTCAATGCTACGTTGCTTCCACACCAAAGGAGTCAACTACGTTAACTTCAGTGCAACGGGCAAACTTCTGGTTTCAGTAGGAGTCGATCCAGAGCACACCATCACCGTGTGGAGGTGGCAGGAAGGTAACTGGAAAGCACGCATTCCTTCAGTCTGGCAGATCTGTGCAGTTATTTGCTTTTCCTTTCAAGTCACTGGCATAGGTTTATGTTCTCACTCTGAGTGAAATGGCTCCCTGCAGTCTCAGAATCAGTTGCAGGAAGAAAACAAAGCGCAAGAAAATATCGATAAGAAAATAAGCTTAAATTTCTCTTGTAAACAGAAATAAGGAGATTACATTCAGCATATAATTCCCTGAAATTGAGGGAAGTGTTTTCTTACTATGCTGAAAATGCTCGGATTTGAAATTGTATGCAGTGCTTAGGCCTTTAAGAAGTCATTTCCAGACAATGGTTGTCACAATTGGGAATTGAGGCAAGAGTGTCTCAGTTCTCTAGATATTTTCCTGCTTTACTTCAAAACGTCCCCAGATTTTCAGTTTTCTCTGCACACACCTGTGCTCAGTGCCTGTCTCCTGCCTCCTCCACTGCAGAAGCAGGCATTGCATCACCCTGATTGCAGTTACGTCCAAAAGATGCGTAGAGAGTATCTGACATCCCTGCTCAGAGCAGTTGGTTCAGGAAATGCAGCAGTCCTGCTGTGTTTAAAAGTTCATTAAGAGGAGGCACTGCTCATCTTTTGCGTAATGCAACTTGTTGATGACACTCAGTGTTTTGATGGTACTTCAGTACCTGGGAGACAAATCGTGCTATTAATATCCTCAAACTGTCAGCTGTAGTGGAACACCCAGGGACCTAGCAGGCTGCATGAATTAAAATGGTTGCTGCTTTAAATAATGTTGGGATATGCTTAGCTTTCGGCATCTGGGACAGAGTTTTCCAACCTAATACCAAGTAATTTTGTTTTATAAAATCAACCCAGGGCTTAATTTGGCAGGTAGATCTAACTGTATTTTTATGCTTTCCTAATTAAAACAGGGGCTAAAGTTGCTAGCAGGGGAGGACACCTGGAGAGGATATTTGTTGTAGAGTTCCGCCCAGACTCGGACACTCAGTTTGTGTCTGTGGGGGTAAAACACATGAAGTTCTGGACATTGGCTGGCAGTGCTTTGCTGTGTAAGAAAGGAGTCATTGGTTCCATGGAAGATGCCAAAATGCAAACCATGCTTTCTGTTGCCTTCGGAGCAGTGAGTTCAAGTTACTTGCAATTACTCAAGTTAATTTTATAACACGTTTTTACTGAGAGATCCAGCACACTGTGAATGGTGCAAGAACGTGGAGATTTTGTGGAATAGTTGAACCTCTAACGTGAGACTTGTGCATCTTTAGATCCTCATTTAATTTTTCTAAATTGGGCTGGGTTTCTCTGTCAGTGAATATTTTTTTGTTAATTACAGTGTAATTGATACTGTAATTGTGTAACCTCTTTTTCCACTGACAGTGTTGGGTATGACGTGTGATTCAGCTCATGTTGACAGTTCATAGGATTTTCCTGTATGTTTACTGAGGAGCCATAGCACTGTGCTTTAGACTTCATAGTGGAGGAAAACAATCTGTTCAACACACAGATCAACTTTTGCTTTTTAACATGATAAAACTAACGTGCTGTGAGGAGAACATTCAAAACCAGCAGATGAACTCCACTCCGTTAGCACACGTCATTTGTTCAGGATGTTGTTTTCTTCCTTAAGTATGTGTCACTGAATCCCACTGGCAATAAGAATGCATGTCACAGAAGCATGAGTAAGTTATCCTGAACAGAGGAGGGGCTGAGTACGTTCCCTCTGCTCCTTTGTCCATCCATGGGCTTTTCTCATCCAGGTCCATCTAATGCCAAAGGCAGCAGGTCATGCTGGCATGCAGCTACACTACATTTTTGTCTCTAACAGTAGCAAATTCATTTGGCAAATTCTTTCCACCAGTTTCATCACTAGATTCTTCTCCTGTTTATTGCAGGACGTGAAACTTCCCTGTGAGCCCTTAGCAAAGGGTTCTCTAACATTTTTTCCCTTGTATCTATCAGTGAACTTGAAGGTGATGCTGTATTTAGTTTTATGCTATCAGGACATGGCAACTGGGAACACTTTTCCTTCTTCCTGCCAAAGAGGAGATGAGATGCTTTTCATTTACGCGGAATTTTTCTGTATTTTTCAATACAGCTAAGCCAGTTTTCCCCTTTACAGTCACTTAGGGATCATTCAAGATGTTTAAAAGGCACATACTGTTGCTACAGAATCCAGTGGGATTGCAGTTGTGCCTTTTCACCTGCAGCAAGTCTTTCCATTTAACAGCACGCTCCAGAAGCACATTTTCCATGCAGAATGCTCACTACTGTTTCCCATTCAGTTGTGCAATTGCCATGGTGCTTCAATTAGGTACAAGATTGAGCCAGTTCTGCACTTAGTCTTAAAGCCTTTATTTTCAGTATCTTGAAGACAGTGGGATTTCCATGGGCACGTACTCAAGAAAGAAATGTCACCTGAAATTCAGTAGTGATAACCTGCTGTTTGTGTATGCAGCAGGAGATATGACAGTACATGCATGGCAAAAGCAGCACGTGCACTGGAAATTCCAAGGTGAAATGCATGAAGTGAATGTGCCCTACACTCTGGTCTATGTTAATTATGGTACCTTAAAGAGACACCATCATAGCACAGTGATTAAACACATTATTCTCAGTGTGTGTGATTTTAATTCCTGTGGTCATTGCATGGTTGATTTTCTCAGGAAATGCAGTACCTAAATAATTTTAATTCAAGCTGTACAAAGATGCTGAGATATTAATCACATCAGAGATTGTTCCTATCTGTTGCAGAATAACCTTACGTTTACTGGTGCCATAAATGGAGACGTCTATGTCTGGAAGGACCATTTTCTGGTCAGACTTGTGGCAAAAGCTCACACAGGACCGGTGTTTACAATGTACACCACCCTTCGAGATGGACTTATTGTTACAGGAGGCAAGGAGAGACCGTAAGACATATTATACTCTTCCTAAAGCACACAGCTTTCTTCTTTCTCACATCATTTTTAATTCATCAATACAAGACATACGGAATGGTTGTGTTATCTGCCACCTTTTTGTTACTTGCTTTACATTACCCTATAGTGTAGTGAGGTGTCCTTAGTAAGAAGTGATGCAGATTGATGTGTGGGATCTCTGGTAGCCCATGCAGGAGACATCTGTGTAACACAACGTTCTGCTTTCCAGCACTAAGGAAGGAGGGGCCGTAAAGCTGTGGGACCAGGAGATGAAACGGTGCAGAGCCTTTCAGCTCGAGACAGGACAGCTCATCGAGTGCGTGCGCTCCGTCTGCAGAGGGAAGGTGAGAGAGCCAACGTGGCAGGCTTCACTGCGTGGCATGCGTTGCTGCGTGCTGCTGTTGGTGAAGACTGGACAGGAGACACAAAGGAGGGGACTGTTCTGAACCAGGGCTTTGCTGGAAAGGCTCCTGCGGTTCAGACCGTGGCAGTCCAGCTAACGTAGGTGTGCACCACACTGGTCTAACTGATAACACCTTGTTTGACGTTTATGTTATTGTCCAGAAGTGGCATTAAGTCACCTCAGCGGTATGAGAATCATGCTGTCCCAGCCTGTATGTAAACACTTGGATCTGAATGCAAATGGCAAGAGGGAGGTCCACTGCCACCACTCAATAGTAGCACCAGCATACGATATCAGATCTCCAGGCGTGAATCTATCAGTGGTTTATCTCCTGTTCCTAAGATTCTGCATGGACGACCACTATAAATTAGGATGGGTTATCACAGATATTTCTATAACACTTGGATATCTTACTGTGCGTTATGTTATCCGATTTATTTATTTAGTTATTTTTTAATACAAACAGGGGAAAATTTTAGTGGGAACAAAAGACGGAGAAATCCTTGAAGTAGGAGAAAAAAATGCTGCTTCAAACTTATTAATTGACTGTCACATGGAAGGGGAGATCTGGGGCTTAGCGACGCACCCCTCAAAAGACTTATTTATCTCTGCCAGCAATGATGGGACGGCAAGAATCTGGGACCTATGTGACAAAGTGAGTATTGCTCAACTGAAAATAATGCAATGAAAAGTGATAATTTGATACAGCCATGCATTTTTCCAACTGCACAACATGCACTGCTCCAGCCCTGTGTGCACCTTTGAGCAGCCAAGTAAAACAACAGTTGTGTTTGTTGTTCTGGTGCGTAGCATTTCCTGCTGTGTGGCCATGTGAAGAAGCAAGGCATTGGTGAAGTACCATGCTGCTCTTCCCAAAGGCAAGCTACTTGCAATGAGATGCAGCTGCATGAGTTTGTGTTAATGGAGTGCCTTTTGTTTTGTGTTATTTCTGATATAACGTTGTAAAAAGCAGAGATTTGACCTAGAACTGCAGACTGGTGCAGTAAGAAAGCATTTTACTTCTGTGCTGACACAGATCCATGGCTAATATGCAGATCCTTCCAATAAGCTTGCCTCACTGGCGAGCATGACTCCAACACTTTCAGAGCCTTTCTTTACAATAGATGAGATGGCATATATGTAGATCAGCAGTATTTTTTTTTCCGACGTCAAACTGCATTAACCAACAAGAATATTAAAAATAACAAGGACTTCTGGTTATGCCAAACTACATAAATTTTTTCAAAAACTAGTTACCTGAGATAGTAGGCTCATTTCTAATGTCAGAAATTGTTAGCATTATTAGTACACCCAGATAATTGAAATGGCAAAAGTGTTTTGCTATGTTTCCGTATAGCAAATGGTAAAATAATAGAAAATATTGCTCAGAAATTGTAGAATAGCCCTCTGAAGGCAATGGGATTAAAAAAATCCATTTCCTTCTTTGGTAAGTAACATGCTTTGCGATTCAAAGTTGAAGTTCTCCTGCAGCAAGATAGCTGCAAACGTGGAACACCCATTTTAATTGCACCTCCATTTGAAGCCTGTTTTGCAACATATGTCTGGTGGGTGTGATTTTCATGTGAAATTTCAGATTTCTATTTAGAGGAAACTCTACAGAACTTGTTTTTAATGAGCGGCTTTCGTACTCCGTGTTTGGAAGCTTTCCATTTGCTCGGAGGCTTTTCCACAGGGAGGTTTGTTGCCATCGCTTTTGTTCACGCAGAAACTCCTGAACAAAGTCAACCTGGGTCACCCAGCAAGATGTGCTGCCTACAGTCCTGATGGAGAGATGGTCGCCATCGGCATGAAGAACGGAGAGTTTGTGATCTTACTGGTTAACAGCCTTAAGGTGTGGGGCAAGAAGCGAGACAGGAAGTCTGCAATTCAGGATATTAGGTATGTCCAACAGGCCTGAGCTCTGCAAGGACACAGCCCTTCCTCTGGAAATAGTCCCACAGGGCCAAGTTCATTCATTTATTTATTGTGATTAATTCATCTCTATCTACCAGTAATTTGTACACTGTGGAGTTACGATTCTGGGAATGAATATAATAATGCATTGTAAAATTGCAAATCCTGTTCCTTTCTCACAGAGGATTAATGTTGTTCTTCATATCATACTGTGCACTCTAATACAAGTGCAATGTTAACCTCAGTTAACAATATATGATGTCATCTGCCTATGAAGCACCAAATTTGATTTGGACTGAATTTCCCTATTGATACAAGGTTTGTCTTGTTTTCCAGTAAAATTGATTTGCCCTTTTGTGTTATCATGGGAAGCAAAAGCAAATCTTGCACAGAAACAGTAAATTATATCCTCATTCTGTATCTTGTTGTCTAGGATCAGCCCAGATAACAGGTTTTTGGCTGTGGGTTCCCAAGAGCATACTGTAGATTTCTATGATCTCACTCAAGGTACAACCCTAAACCGAATAGGCTACTGCAAAGATATTGCAAGTTTTGTCATCCAGATGGATTTTTCTGCTGACAGCAGGTACATTCAGGTATGTCGTGTGTGGGCAGTCTTGTTTCTGTTTCCTGTGACTGGTTATCAGGCATAATGGCAAGATGGCAAGCTGAATTTATGTGTGAGTTGCTTCCTTCTTAAACTTTCCTGATCTAGTAACATTGGGTTGAGGTAAACTAGAGAGTATACAGCTGAAAGGAAAGCCATCCATACGCACTGAAACACTTGATTCACTTATCGCCCTGTCACTGTTATTCCTTTATATCACATATCAAGAATTACAGCAAACTAAAAAGAAAAATGCATCCTAGATGTTTATTTCCTGATATTACTATTACTGCTGTTACCACTGCAGTTCTTTACAGAAGAAATCACTGCATTTACAGTGAAGTTTATAGCTTTTCCTTTCCTGCATTCAGGTATCAACCGGTGCCTATAAGCGTCAAGTCCATGAGGTGCCACTAGGAAAGCAAATAACAGATACTGCCACGATAGAAAAGATCACATGGGCCACGTGGACAAGGTAAAAAAACAAAGCAGAACAAAAGCAAACACTAGAAACTAAAAAGTTCTGCCTGACTGGGGACAAGTACAGTGGAGAATACAATACAGTGCACAAGGTCGAATTGTGTACACCATACACATAGAATATCCCAGGGTTTGGCAAGCCTATAAGAGAGGGGTACACACTCCACTTCCACAGAGACCTCTAACACATGTTTTTCAACACTCTGGTTGGTGTCATGCTCTGCGTAGTGTCATTAATGCTGTCAGATATCCGTGCTGATTGTTGCCATTTGTTCCAGATTTCTATGCTGTTACAGCTTTACTTTTATTGGCACGCTAGGATAGGTTGCTACCTTAACCCACAGTGAACACCAGCAGCATAGGAGGTGTGGAAACATGAGCTGATTGTATAGAAGGGGGTTGTGGGTACCGTTAGAACATATCTGCTGACGTGCATTTATATAGGGCCCTCCCCACACCTTTACAAATCCGTGGCTGTGCTCTTACTGTAGAAAGTGGAACAGGCCAGGAGCCCATCTGGCAGCAAACAGAGGGATGGTACAGGCAGGCTTTAGGATAAGGTAAGTGAGAATCCTCCCACTCTTACTGCTCTGCCATGGAGCAAGCTGAAAAATCTGCCCTGAATTTCTCATTTCTAAGGACTCTTTGGACAGATTGTGGGAATGGGGCAGAGGCATCAGTTTGTGGGTAAAACAGCAATAACTGCACAGAACCTCAACTAAGGGGAAGACAGCTCCTCTGAGAAATGCTCAGCTCCAAAGGAGCATTCATTCATTCCACAACCTTAGGGTAAGAGAACATCATTGTAAAAAGCTCTGTGAGGTACGGGCTCACAAGGACAGGCAAGGCCAGAGCTACACAAGCTGCTGCTGCAGAATGAGGGGAGTAGTTTCACAGGAGATAAACCTCAGGATGTGTGGTTAGAGCTGGTTTTGGAGTCACACAACACAGGTGCATTGCTGTGATGGGCTCCATTGTGGGAGCACTGCTCTGTGCAGTGGTTTAGTGGGAGAAGGCTTGCTTGTAAGGAACAGTTTTCTATCAGGATGCTCTGCAGCAACAAGAAAGTATTATGGTCTAACATTCTTTTTTTAACTTCCTTTTGGAACAGCATTCTTGGAGATGAAGTCATTGGAATTTGGCCACGAAATGCAGATAAGGCAGATGTCAATTGTGCATGTGTGACCCATGCTGGCCTGAATATAGTCACAGGGGATGACTTTGGTCTGGTGAAGCTGTTTGATTTCCCATGCACAGAAAAATTTGTAAGTGGAGGTTTTGTTTTCCTTCACTCTAAGCAGCTTACTTTCCCCATGTTCACATTCCTTAGCACGTGGCTTTAAGGAGAGCGTGGTGCAGTGGGTCAGCTGCAGGCTGCTGCTGGCTGCTGGGGGGCATTGCTGCCTTCCGGCACTGGGGGAGGTGCAGTGCTCGGAAGCAGGTGCTGAGTTTGGATAGTGGGGGCTCGAAGGGAATGCTCACAAGTCAGCATTGTTGCTCTTCAGCACTAAGATGGAGTAATGAAATCCTGAACTTTTTTTCTTTTTCCACCAGGCCAAACACAAGCGGTATTTTGGGCATTCTGCGCACGTTACCAACATACGCTTTTCTCATGATGACAAGTATGTGATCAGCACAGGAGGAGATGACTGCAGGTATTATTTATTTTGATTTATTTTCATGATGAAGAATTAGAAAATTCACTGTGCACCTTTGCACGCCAAATCTGCAGCAGTGCATGCACTGCCCTTCTGGGCTCAGGCTGCATTCATTGCTGCCTGCTGAAATCTGAGGTTTGCTTTTCTTAGTTTTGCAGTGCTCTATTTAATGCTTGATTTTGGCTGATTTATTCCTCTGCTTGGCATGGAGCCAGCTGTTGGATAAAGCTCCTTGCAGTACCTTGCAGTCTGGTGCTTTGCCTTCAGCACCCAGCGCCTGCACCGCACTCCCTGGCTCGCTGTCTTCCTGGAACAGCTGGCTCAAGCAGAGCTTGCCTGATGCCAATACGGAGCTGGGAGCTGCTGGAGGACTGGAGGTGGCTGAAGGAGCCCCTGCTGCTGGCACGGAGCCCCGTGTGGGTCTGAAGAGCACTGAGATCAAAGACAGCTGGTGGGGATGTCAGTCACACCAAAATAACTGCAGGGTTCCCACCCAGCAAAGGGCAGGACAGGAATTCCAGCAGAAGAAACAGCACAGCAGACTTAGAAAACCATTCAAACAGAGGAGCCTGCCCAAAAGGGGTCTGAATTTAAAGAGGGGAAAAAATTCAGGAAGTGTGTGTGTGCGCAGGGAGGAGGGGTAGGTGTCTGTCATAGTGTTGTTTTGTGCAGCTGTGCAACAGCAGTGTGTGGCTCTGGGTGTGCAGCTGTATGTGTAGGGATGTGTGGCTGTGCTCACTGCAGTGTAGCTGTGGTTGTAGCTGTGTGTGGATGCGTGCAGCAGTGCATGGCTGTGGCTGCGTAGGGCTCCTGAGGGCTTTGTGTGCACACGTGGCTCTGCATTGGGCTCTGGCTTTGTGTGTGGCTGTGGGAGTGTGCACGTGCCATGTGTGAAGGATGTGTGTGGCTCTGGTAGCTTTGTGCGTGCTGCTGTGTGAGAATGCATGTCTGTGGTGCATAGATGCCTGGCAGTGTGTGGCTTAGTGTGTCTGTGTCTGTCCATCCATGTCTGCACACATTGTGGGTCTCGATGTGCCCGTCTCTGTGCATTTGTGTGTACACACGTGGCTCTGTTAGTGTGCCCGTCCACGTGTCTGTGTCTGCAGGTGTGCACACATGGATGTGTCTGTCGGTCCGAGTGTGTCTGTGTGCACCTGTCTGTCCATCTGTCTGCATCTTTGTCCGTCCATGTGTCCATGAATGCATGTGCATGAAGACAAAGCCCTGGTGCTGCTGGGGAAGGCACTGCAGTGTTTCTGTTCTGCTGGGCTCACCTCTGCCTCACCTGGAGGCGCGTGCTTCAGTGTGCACTTAGTCCACCACTCTCTCTTACAGAAAAGATGCTGGAGGTGACTTCAAAAAATATCAGTCAGTGGTATCAATCAAGTGATGAGCTACCAATTAATTTCTTTGCAGTGTGTTCGTGTGGCGATGTCTCTGACAGCTCCTGCTGTGTTGCTGCCACCCCAAGCGCTGGCTCAGGACCGGACAGCCACGGATGCCTCTCCCCCTTCAGCTGCTGTGACTGCTGCCTGATGCTGCTGGAGGATTTCATCTTTCCAGATTTCTTGTGACTGTAGTGAGCATGAATGTGCTCTTGTGTCTCAAATACCAACATCCCAGAGCAGGGAGCTGAGGTTTGGAAGGGAAGTTTTGTAAGCGGGGTGGGCCAAAGTGAACAGGTAACTGCCTAATACTGTATTATTCAAACCGTGTGGGAGAAGGGAGGATGCAGAGAAAAATGCTGGGCCCTTTAATTGGTGTAATTTCAAAATTCATGGCTCGAACATTCACAAATGTTTTCACCACACCTGCTTCAAACTCAATCTCAGTGCACTCAGTAGAAGCACAGGCTGCTAATGAGGACACTGGGCTCACACTGCAGCTGTCTGTAATCAAAGAAGTGAAGTATAGCTCTTAAAATCCTTTTTTTTTTTTTTTAAATATGTTTCCTTGGCAAATTTTTCTATCCATTAAGTGCCTTTGAACAATATTTCTCGTAGTATGGCCTCCGATCTTGCCTCCCTCCAGTCTGCTTTCAACATATGGTGCTAAACTTCCACACAGAGGAGGGCTAACCACTCACACCCCTTCCAGAGGTGTACTTACGTTATCCCTGAGTACTGCTTTGGTTTTTCATACCTTTAAAAAACAAATTCCAGAATGTTTCTGTGAGCAGGAACCTACACAAGCTGTAAGGCCAAACATTTCCTGCCATGCTGTTCACAATTAGTTCATGCTGGGAGGTTGGCTGCAGCTAGAACTTGAAGCTTAACCTAAAGCAGAGCCAGAAGGGGGCAAAAAGGAAGGTTTTAAACACAAGTAATGAGGAAGTTATTCCTTGAGTGTTCCTGTAGTCTCTCTGGTTGCAGGAAAATGTACTTCATGTTTAATTAAATGCTGGCCCAGGCAGTGACCATCAAATCTGTGAAAGTATTCTGAAAGCCACCAGGAATCAGTGCTCCCCACTCTGCCAAAGGGATCTCCTGACCCTGGGAACACTGCTGGCCTGGGCCCTTCAGCAGGCAGCCAGCCCCATGCTGCCTGGTCTCAGAAAACACATCATTCAGGTACCCAAGAAGTGTTCCTGCCCTTGAGAAAAGCATCGTCTGCGCTCAGTTTGAATTCCTCTTCCTGTCATTGCTTTTCATGCACCCTCTGCAGCAGCCTGAGCTGTGACCACAGGCAGGAGGGCAGCAGCTGCTGCAAGGAAATGAGAGGTGCTTCCACGTGGAAGCGGAGACCAGGAGCAGATGCTCACAAAGGACAAGCAGAACTGTTCAACAACTGTTAATGAACATTTCTGCAAGACCAGAAACCAAGGGACAATGAAATTGGAGAAAGAAAAGTAAGTAATTAAGTTCAACAACTTTTTCAAGTGAAACTTTGAAAAGGAACAGAAAATCTGGGCACTGTGAAATGATAATGGAGATAATGGACATTCAAGGAGGTTATTCAAGAAGGATGTGGATGCCCCAGCCCTGGAGGCATTGAAAGCCAGGCTGGATGTGGCTTGGGGCAGCTTGGTCTGCTGGTTGGCAGCCCTGCACGTAGCTGGGGGTTAAAACTAGATGAGTATTGTGGTCCTTTTCAACCCAGGCAATTTTGTGACATGGGAATGACTTTGTTCTTTCAGGATTGTTTTTTAATCTAAAGAATTCAAGGCCAAAAGAGAACGTTCTGACTTTAAGTGATGTTAAATAGTGCTTTAGTCCCAGTTCAGCTCAACGAAATGCTGAGCTGTGGAACTGTCCTGCTGTGCCACTTCACACTCCCACACCAAGCTCTGATAGCAGCAGTTGGACCCAGAATATTGTAGTGCTGACCACTGAAATAAACCCCTGTCCCATTCAAGGAGCAGATCTATGTATATTTAACACACAAAAGTGCTTCAGCAACCTCAAAGAATCAGCTTTTTTTAAAACTGAATTTATTAATGCCTTATATTACTATACAGAAGATCAGTTTGTCAGATACACAGTAAGAGTCCCTATGCAGTTTTTGTTTTGTTTTTTAAGGAATCCTTTTGGATCACATGGTGTAATCCCGTTGGGTGGTGATGTCAGTGAGCACCTTCTTGGCCTATGTTGTCATGTTTGCCTTTCGCACTGATTGTATCCTGACCAAAAGCAGCTGTGCAGCAGCAGGAGCTATCGACAGCAATGCTACCACTACCTTACAGCAATAGCAGCTGTCAGGAAAGCACTTGCAAATTTCTATGTTTATATCGTTTGGCTTTATCTGTAAATGTTCAGAAGTGAGGATGTATTATACTGTAAATTAATACATTAGTGCATGAATTTATTTTTCAATGGTCAAAATGCCATTCATGTAACATCTGTGTCTCTAATAAATTTGGATACCAGTTTTCAATGTCCAGCTCTCTGACTCAGACGCCGAAAACAAACCAAACATCTGAAAAAATACTGGACTGACTTGCTTGACAGTTCCCCTCAGAACAAGCAGCCAAGGACCCTGAAACTCTTTTAGCAGACTCCCATCTCACCTCCCTAAGGTTCAGTGACAGCTGAGGAGCGACTGGGGGTGGCAATGCAGGGCCTCCTGCTGCTCTGTGAGCCACCACAGCTGGGGCTGAGCAAACTGCTTCACGCTGCACAGACGGAAAGAAAAGGTACCATGAAAACTCCACCTACTCACACTGCTCGAAATCTGACAAACTATTTCTACCACCATGTACAATGCATGTTTAAGCACGAGGAACTTAAAATAAACACAAATATATTAAACTTACCTCAAGAAAGCAAAATGCCGGTATTATTTTAAGTCTATAAGCTTTATTGATACTTGGGTTTTTTTTGTTTGGGGTTTTTTTTTTTGTTTTTGTTTTTTTTTTTTTGCTTTTTTGTTGATTTTTTGTTGGTTTTTTGTTTTACATTTCACAATGCATTCCACAGACTTAGTTCAATACAGCTTAAACTGCAAGTGTTTATATTTTCATTGACCATTTCTTGCATAACAAGGTTTGAAGTTCCCAAACAACATTTGCAGCATGAGATATTCAGTCCACACATGTTCAGAGTTTGAGAGACTGTAGAATTATTTGCTCAAAATTAACTACTGTACGTTTGCGCAGCCAAGTGTATGCTGTAATTTCAATTTACGTGGAGGTTCCTTTGTTCGTTGCTCTTTTTTTGCTTCTTTTAAACAGATGCTAGTGTTTACAGAGACGTTTTAGTTTCTCAAGCTTGTGTGCTATGGAGCTAGTCCAGAATCAGTCAGTTCTCTGACGTACGAAGCACTGTGGAGCAGCTGAAAGATCTAAGCTTTGTGAAACACATATATATATATATATATATTGGCAATTGATAAAACAATAAAATCACAATACAGCTATACTCATACCAAAAGGCAAGATTCTTCAAAACTTGCTAAAATGGTATATTCTTCTAAAACATCTCATTTTAGAAAATCTGCATCAATCTACACAGACCATACACAGTGCACAAACTGGGAAGTGTTCTCCTCTGCTCCACCTGCACTACCTCTTCTGGAACGCAGCAGCGCCTACCTCTGATAAGCAAAATGTACAGCTTTCTCAAATCTTTTGTATTAGCCAGTGCTGCACACAGGATAAAGAAAGATGATTAGTTTTAAATCCATACATAGCAGCTTACAATACTTAGGATGATGAAACACATGGCAGTCAAAACAGTTATTTTTCCTCAAACACTGCGTTGCTAAAAAATAAAGATCTGTGAAATTGCACTGCAATGTCAAGGGTTTCGCTATACCCTGACCCTCCCCATGTAAATCCAAATGAGTATTTTCCCCCTTAAAAGCTGAACTTCCTATCCATAAGTTGCTTCGGGCTTTTTACTCGGTTTTGCGCTTCAGCCCAGGGATCTTTGCTTGGATCCTGCAAAAGGAATGGGAGAGGAAAAAGAATGGCATTGGAGAAAGCAAAATAGAGGAGGTAGAAAGGTATTCTTAGGGATGTGGAGGTCATTAGCACAGCAAACCAACCACTACCCTCAGAAACTGGTACAACTGCTAAATTCCTCCTCATGCGCCCCACAGCTGCAAATGCTGAGGGTCTGTGGTTCTACTGGTAGCTTCAATCTATACATTTCCATTAGAAATCAAACTGGATGAACTTAACGGCAACAGCAAGAGGGGAACAGACTTCACAACCACTCTATCTAACCAAAAGACTTTCTCCTCCCACAACTTGCAGTATGGGGCATGTAGTGTGGGGTTGCTGTGCACATTATTTATACAGGAAGTGAAACAAACAACAAATACTCACTTTGCCATCGCATCCTTGACATTCTTGTTCACTAGTCCCAAATAATGGTCGATCTGGGCCTAAAAGGAAAGATGGGAGATGTTACAGATCAACTGCTGGATGGCAGCATTACAGCAGGGCACCAGGATGTGCCTCACAGGATCAACTGCTGACAGAAGGAAGGAGCTCAGCACTGGTTATTCCCCGGGCTGATGCAGCCCAAGCCCAGCTCCCTCTCAGTCACCTTCCAGCGCAAAACCCTCCACCCTGTGACTGCTGATCAAAAGGCAGCAGTTTGTCCAGGTAAAAGATGCTCACTGGAGCCCACTGCTAAGCTGAGCATCAGCAGGAGATTGCATTTTTAAACACAGGCCTTTTTCACTCACGCCTCTTCTTGAGGCAGCTCTGACAGAGTGCACCACCCAGGAGGAGGTGAGGAGCAGTCACCCCTGGGGCACCCAGAGAAGGAAAGCTGCTTTGGTGGGCCGGGCCTTCTAAAGAGCTTACGCCCTCAGGGAGCAGCCTTCAGCTCAAGAGGATTGAGGAGCTGGGGTTAAGCCACACCACTTGTCCATCAGGTTTCCTCAGTGCTACAGGATTTCCTTTTGCTGCAGAGCTCGTTGGCTCGTTTCTAGGCTCATCTGGGAGCTCAGAGAGGAGCCCAAGAGGCTCTGCCATCTTCTCAGCGCTTCTCTTCCTCCTTTCCCAAATTGCAGGCTGGCCTCTCTGAGCGGGGTTGTTTTTGAAAGAGGAGAAGGAACTGCTAAGCCAGCATTGGCTTCCCCCCTCCTCCTGTAGATACTCCCTGCTCCAGCTCTGCTATTATTTCACCATATGCATTTTGCTTTGGGTTCTTCTTACCTCCTTCATGTAACATCAGTCTGTCAACAGGAGAAGTATCAGAAGCATCTCCCATCACCGGTTTTTGTCGGAACTACAAATTCCATGGGGATTTGGGACACAAATCCTGAATATTATTAGCTCCAAAGTGGTTTCTTCAGAACTCACATCAAGAGCAACACCCCCTGCCTAATGCTGCTGTCATCCTGACCAAATACAAATGAGAGGACAAGAAGGCCTCCAGGTTAACCAGGACCGTTTCGTAACTGTTTGCTGGGGCAGCCCTCTTAAGTTCCACCAAACAGGAGGGGGGGAAGCACACACAGTTTGGACTTCACAGCAAACTCTGTTCTCTGGCACTGGCTCCTGGTTAAAGGCCTGTGCTTCAAAGGCTTCAGAGTTTAGAAGGATAAAAAAAATTGGTTTTATTCCTTCCTGGTTTTGTTTCAACAGAGCTAATCTCACAGAGTGCTTAATGAATCCTATTAAAAACTCACCTGATGTCTCTCATAAATAACAGGAACACTGAAGAGCGAAATCAAAGCTGGAAAAGAAAAGATCACTGGTATAAATACTGACAAAAGAACAGTGCTCTGTTTAATGGAGGCTAGTGTTCACCTTGACCCTTCTTTCAAAAAGCTACAGGAAAAAGCAATAGCTAAGCTACATACAAAAATCATTGGTCAGTAATTTCAACTGTCTACTAAGGAGTTGGGCTGCTCTTCAAGTCTCATTAATGGCATGGTGCATCTGATCACAGCTCACTTCTGCACTGGGTTATACACATTCTTCAGACCCCAGTTTGCTTCTGACAGCTGCTCTGGACTACCAGAATCAAACTATCTTGAGTGGGAGGGGACCAGATCTGCTCCTGCGCCTCCACCAGTAAGTTACAGTATAGCAACCATGCTAAAGAAAAGCTAACCCGGACAGATAAGCACAAGGGACCATGCTTCTGAATGATACAAAGTCTGAAAAATCAGCAAATTCAGCAGCACAGTTCACAATTATCCCTCTGCAGTGTTATCAGTGCCCTAGAAGAAGGACACACAACTGCATCATTTCGATACACTCTCAAGAACCCAGGAACAGCCTCGGAATACCAGGCAGACCTCAGTGCTTTTTCAGGGTTATTCTGTCATGCCAGCTATTTAACACAACTTGAAACACTCACCCAGTATCAGTAATGTCAGACCATTGAACAAGGCACCAACATAAGTGAACACCCACATCAACACTGCAAACTGTAAAGGAAAAAAAGCACGTTAGCCCATGATGTGTGGTACAAAAACATACCGGCCGTAACACTAAGTGAGAAAAATTCCCAAAACACACTCATAAAGCTAGAAAGCACGAGACATCACCGTGCATGTCCCATGTAATTATAGATGTGTGACGAGATGGCTGAAGGGTTCAGTAACAGGATATGTGGCCCCTTGTGTCTGGGTCATTGGGCTGAGCGCAGTGACCAGGAGTGGTCGCTACCTGGTGGCTGCCCAACGCCCTCTGCACTGATGTACTGCTTCCAACCCAGCATTTAGCAACAATGGGCAACCAGTTCCCAATTGCCTCCCTTCTAACACACAGAGCAGGACAGGCAAGTGAGGGGCTGGAGCAATCCAGCACCCGGGGATGCAGCCAGGAGCCAGCAGCCACCTCGCAGCGCGCCTGGCAGCCCAGCAGCCCGTATCCAAATGCATCAACTGCAGGGCTGTGCTGCATATGGGGATATGGAACTGCCCCAGCCGTGCTTCTGTCTCTGGGAGCCACCAAGTGCCCTGGGCATGGGGCTGTCACATCGCCATCCTTTGCCCACCACTGCTCCCGCACAGACCCTGTCCTTAGCAGCCCCAGCAGCTCTGAACAGGGCCGCCTGTCCTCCACCAGGTGCAGTGTCCCAGGCACACCTCTGACCTATACGGGGTGGGAAGGGCCATGGCTGCCAGCTCTATTTCTGTGTCAGCACCTCCCCGATCAGCCGCTTTCTTCTAGAGTTGCACAGCCCATAAGGAACGGAGCAGAAGCCAGGACTTGGGTGTCAGAGCAAGGGCAGTTAGCAGTGTGTATCTCTAAGCAATGACTTGTGCTTTGGTGAGATTATCAAGAAAAACAAAGCAGATTTCTCCAAACTCCCTCTTGATTCATTCAGACCTCTGTTCTGCTCTGCAGCGCAGTGGTGGGAAGTGGCCAGCAGCCTCTGCACACGGTGCTTTAACAAAGCCAACAGTCTGCTTCCAGCATGGGTCTGTCTGTGCAGCACGTCCCCCTTTGCACAGCAGGAG